AAAAAAAAGAAGAAGAAGAAAATTCCTTCTTGAATAGCGTCTAAGATTAAATTAGATATTTAAAAAGAGAAAAGGGCAAAATTGGAGAAAATTTCTACCTTAATTGTCACGGTTTTTTTAAAACGATAGTTTTATAACAATTTTCCTCCTAAATTTTCAAAAATTTTAATAAGTGTTGSAGTTTTTATCTYAAACTTGATTAAATTTCATTTAATGAATACATATATTTTTTTTAAGTATAYGTTGAGGTGGAAATTTGAACTCRTGACCCTTTTTGTTGAAGATAGATATTTTAACTTATTGAGCTATGCTCAAATTGACTCCATTTAATGAATATAAAGTATATGTTTACTACAAATATTATGAAGCTTAAAAAATGTGTTTTAAATTTTAATGACCTATTAAATGCATTATTGAAAGTTTAGAACATATTAGATTACACGAATTTGAAAATTCATAGACTCCATTTGTAATTGCACCTCGATATTTATACTTTACCTTTAATACTTTATATAACATTATACGTGTGAAGGTAATTAATTAAAATTCAATATTACTCTTTAATATCTTTTTTTAGTAAGTCGGATGTGAGAATATGGAGATTTGAATCTCCGACCTTAAGAGAAGAAGTAGATTAATATCAATGTTTTATACTAGTTCATGAAATTTGATGATATTTCAGGACTAATTCTTACCACTAATTTTCATGATAGATAAGATGGTACACTATTGGGAAATTGACGTGGCACTACTCAGTCATTACTAATTCTTACCCGTAATTTTCCTAATTTTGTCATAATCATGTTAAAATTTGCACTACTTAAATTAAAAAATACTTTTGATTCCTATATTTTCATTGAAGTAATGATTTAATTCTTATACTTTTAAATTGGTAACAATTTGGAAGTAAWAAGGCATGAGTTCGAATACAGGACCTCTTGTTCTAATACCATATTAAAAATTAACAAACTATCACTCAACCTAAAAGTTTAAGTTGATGGGATGGGTAAATTCATTTATAAGTATTTSAACAATAAGAAGAACSCAGTTTTTTTTGTACCTTGATCTCGGGCTATAAGATCCTCTATTTCTTTGTTTAATTTATTTACCTTTGCAAAAAAAGAAAAAAAAATCATTAAATTTTAACAACATTTTTCATGATATAGACTAAATCGTTACAAACTTAATACAACCAAAAGTAAATTATTACATACTACAGTTTATGACTAAATTGTACAAATATCAAATATAGAGACCGCATCATTACGAGCTAAAATTCGGGRACTAAATCATTATTTTAATAAAAAAATATAGAAGCAAAATATTATTAATGGAATACTTACTTTGACACTCCTATTAAATAAATTTTTGGTGCATAGACATAGTGTGATAAATAATTGAATAAAATATTTAATTTGGACAAGTCAACCAGGTAAGATTAGGATTAGGATTAAAGAGTTACCTAACTATATTCAATTTTTTAGTAGATGAAATCAAAACATGAATTTTTTCTAATCAATCAAATTGGTCCATTCAATTTCAACATGAAACAAATCTGTTGGAAGCGTTGAATCTAGTAAACAATAGCATCCACTGAAAATTTAAGGAGTTCTCATTTCCTTTAACGCTGTTTACTAAAGTGAAAGAATTGAACAAATTGATGGAATTCACCTAAGAGAATCGCTGTTCAAGTAATATAATTTATCTACTACAACGTTGTCAATGTCACTCTAATTYCTTATTTTGTSGGCTCCACACCTTTTCAATTTATAGACCGTTTTAGTAAACAACATCAATATGTTCATGATTTCGATTCTAGAAAACTTATAAAAATAACATTTCTATTCCAATTGTACTAAAAAAGGAAAAAAAAAATTGATTTTCACTATAATTACTTATCATTTTGATTCTATAAGTAAACGTGGCAAATTTAACTAGATTGATAGATAGATAARAAAAGTATACAGAGTTCATCTAGGATCCATCAATAAATAGATTTAGTTTTTTCATGACGGGTTGATCCTTCACGTCCTCTAACCTCTCCATATATATATATATATAGTTCAATAATACGAAGATTCGAACAGCTGACATTTTGGTCCAACATCCATGCTAACTTTCGAATTTCGACCCAAAATAAGTTAACGGGTGTCTTATCCGCGGAGATTAATAAATTAATTAGATGATTTTGCAAAAAATGCGAGGGCCCCGACAAATGGGGCATTAATATAAGTAGCAGGCTCCGACTGCTGATAGTTATTGCGATCGTCAGAGAACTTGTCGCCATTATCAGGGCCACCAACAATGGCGCCGATCAGCAGATTCGGATTCGGCGAAGAAGAGTACAGGAACCGGAATCCCTCATTGCAGGAAACTCGATTAGGGCTCGCATGGAGGGACGGCAGAGAGGAACCTCTGTGGTGAATGTGCTGAGGGTATCGTTCTCCGAATCCCACCATGTAAGACATTCTCTCTGGATTCTCTCCCAATATGTAATCCACTTGCTTCTTTGCCTGCGCRATTAGGTCCTCTGCCGAAACCCTAGAAGTCCCGCATCGGATGGATCCGCCATTGGAGCTCAGGTACTTGGCGTATGTTACGAGCAGAAATGATGCTGATGTTACATACTGCAGGTTGCTCTCGCTTCCTTTGAAGAACAGTCCTCCTGCAATTTCGTTTCCAGGTTTGTTTTCATTTCAATAATGGGTGTCTCTTTTGTATTTTTCGTCTTAGTCCGTGAAGTTTCAGCATTTTTCTTAACTTTTTTGGTAGATGAGATGAACTGTCTATTTTGGTATTTGAACTTTACGGTTGTTTCAATTTTTATCACTGAATTTTTAGATTAGATAATAGAAGTATATGTGTTGGGAGAGTGAATTTTAGGTGGGGAAGTAATACTAAGAACCAAAGTGGTTATTTTTCAAAAGTTTAAGAAATAGAATAGGCATTTTAAAAGTTGACCAAATGGTTATTTTTCCAAAGTTCAAAGGCTAAAATAGACATTTTGAACTTCTAAAGACCAAATTAGAAAATCATGAAAGTTTAGATATAAAAAAAAGATTTTAACTTTTTATAATTCCTATACTTTCAAACAAAGAGTTAAATTATTGCTAACCAGGAGTATATTGACCACCGAAACTGGAAGTTCCTGGAATTAGGGAGCATATGTAATTGTCTGAGTGAGCTTTATAGACTTGGAATTCCTCCGAATTTTTCTCTAAGAAATCCTGTAGCAGCTCATCAAGCTTTAGTTGAGGAGATAAAATTTGGACTAAATTTTATTTAGAAGGGAGCACAAACAAAACCTGGGAGAGAAGGATCTTTGTTCCGGGGCGTTTGTCGTCCCAGCTGAATGTGTAGTCATCGTCATCAGCTCCTAGTATATGGCCATTGGACTGGATATAGTTCAAATGTGTGCTGTTTTTTGAGGCTTTATAGATCCATGAGGCACCCCATAGAAGCTCATCCTGATAATAGAGGTCATATGAACTCAAGAAAACAACATTTCAGAAAGAAAGAAAGCAAGCAAGTGGGTGAAGATCTTCTTAACTTACGTTGAATCCTGAGTAAGAACAGTAAAATGGACAAACCACTGAGTGGAGGGAGTCGCTGTAAGAACCTCTATGCTTGTCTGCAAGATTGAACACCTGCATTGCAAGAAATGGGAGTTATTTTTTTTTTTTTACTTTGCTTGGAGAACAATGAGGTGCAATAGCTATGTCCAATGGAAAGAAAAATGAGGTGGGAGGGAGTGGGACTGTTTTACTTTCAAGGCCGCGTTGAGCAATTTGGAAGAATAAGACGGGTCGGAGGCGTTGAACACAATGGAAGCTGCAGCGAGTGCAGCTGCGGTCTCTGCTGCTACATCGGAGCCTGGATTTTGAGTGGTTATCTTATACACAGTCCGCGGCGTGTCCATATCTTCAGGCCTTTCCCAGCATTTATGATCAAGGTTTGGATCTCCCACCTTCACACCACAAGTTGTCATATTATCTCATTTTTTTTCTTATTAAAGTTCTTTTATTTGGCTTAGTTAATGATATGTTATATGGTCACTCTACACTACTCACTTGAACATATAAGGTGTCAGGGGCAGCTGTGGCAGCCTTCAATAGATAATCCGACCCCCAACGAACGGCTGCTCTTGCATTCTCAATCTCGCTCCCCATCGAGTTACCAAACTCAATGACACTCCAAGCGAGCAATGTAGTTGTAAAGGCCATTGGCAAGCCAAACTTGACATTATCCCCAGCGTCATAGTAGCCACCAACAAGGTCAACCTGGAAAATAAGTTAATATTCACATTCCCATTAAGTTAGAGCCTGAGTTAGCTAGTTATTGAATAGATTAGACTCATAGCAGTAATGAACACCAAAGAGAAAAAGGGAAGCAAGCACATGATAAGAGGAGCCATCTGATAAGGCAGAATCCGCCCTCCATGTTAGACGTTGGTTCGAGGGCAGCTTCCCGGACCGCTGTCCCTCAAAGAAGAGAATGGAATACTGAAGAGCAGTAGAGTAATGTTGAGAAGTGAAAGCGGAGGAAGATAAGGCAAGGAAAGCCAAAATGAAGTAGAGRGCAAAAGTGATTGAAGAAGACATTGTTATAAGTTACAACACTCACTCAGAATGGTGAAGGAGTAGATGAAGTGCGGGTGTATTTATAGAGAGGAAGCAGAAGCAGGACTGCAGAAGAGAAGGAAATTTGTTTGTTGGTTTGGAGAGAAATTGGGTCACGGGATCAACTGCGCCAAATTGGAAGTTAAAGAGGGGAGGGTGAGGACAAACGAACTTTACGGTTGGGATTGGATTGGATAAAGGAATGGAAAAGTCAGAGGGGGAGGAGAAAAAACTAAGAATTGAATTGAAAATATGGGTATTGATAGTATTGAATATTGGAGAAAGTGAGGCGTAATTTACGTGGAAGAAGGGGGAACTTTGGATGCCAAAAAATGAGGTGGGAGTGGGAATACTGAATTAAATATAGCAACAGGAATTTGGCTGTATTGCAAAAAGAGAAGTCACGGGTGGGTATTTTTACATGCATATACTCAGTCTCTGCTCACATGAGCTAAACTCTTTTGCCACCCATAATTCTATGGGTAAAATTATGCACTCTTTTGAGTTTCATATCTTGTGATTGGCAAGTGGGTAATCCTCAGCTTTCACATGTATCTTCAAGATTAGTATTTTTAACTAACACATTTGTATTCTCTAGAAACAAATAGAGATGTATTTGTGATTTGTGGCCCAAAAACTGCACCATTACTGTCAAGATGGACAGGAACATTCTTTGGAATCTAGATTGTCTTGGCCTACACAATGTTGTATGTTTAAAGTTAGGCTAAATTACAAAAAAATATCTCTAAACTTTTCCATCTGTTTCAAGTTCTAATACTACTACTCACTTTTCATAAATGTTTCAAAAGTTTCAAGAAACACCTATTAAACACAATTATGTTTTTCTTGATCGAAAAACAAGAAACATGAAATGTTACGAAACTGATCCTTTACCATATTTACTCAATAATCTTTCCATGATATTCGCTCAACCCTCAAAATTKTATCCTGTCTTTCTCACTTCATAAATAAAATTGTTAAATTTCTTGGTTGAAAGAACATTTTATGATATAGTTTTGACCCTTTTAAGGATGAGATTATAAACTCTTTTTAATTGTTTCATGGAGTTACCTAGTTTATCACGCCAAAACAAAAAAGTATTATGTGCAAGTATATCAAGACTCGTCTTCGATTCATATCTAAGTTTTCTTCTTTATCTTTATATACTTTTTCAGATCCATTGCTGATATTAAGTAGCAGCTAAAAATTACTTCGTGCTTTCCACTCAATGGAAAAATGGGTCAAATTCCACGAGACTTTAGGACATAAAAGTTTGAATAGAGCCGAATGTAAATGTTGGTCATTATTCATATATTTATGTACTAGAAAATATAAAGACCATTTAATTGCAGGTGCAATAACGGTGTCAAGTCCATTTGATCTTTTACGATGTATGTTGCACATATCAAGGACCCTATTGAAAGGATGAGTATGATATTTTGACAGAATTTAGCTCCAATTTTTTTTGATGATACTAAAGCCACATGAGCTTTAGTTAATTTATTCTCAAATGCTATTTGCTCATTCTATTGATTTTTAATCATAAACCAGAATGCTTCGTTTATTTCATTCCTATTGATGGAGGCCTTTTTTTATGGATTTGGTCTTGATTGTGGATGATATTAAAGACATTTCAACTTTAGTTAGTTGTTTATGAGAATACAAATGATGCTTGTTTATTTCATTGTCCTGTAGATGGGAGCTCTTTATCTCGAGCTCGGCCATTAGTATTCTGGAGGCTGGGCGGGCTCTGAGCTCGATCCCTCAAGTACCAATATAGTCCTCAATTTTATTCACTTAAAAAGTCGTATCTTGAACTATCATATCATATGGAAATTAAAAGCTAGGTTATATAATTATAACAATCTTTACCTTGGAAAAAATTCAAATAGAGAGCAAAAGAGAGAAAAAAAAAGCCTCGAAAGCTATGACTTGTGGTTTAAAAGAAAGATATTATATATTGTATGGTATGCATCCGACAGTGTTGGAATAAAAAATATACCATATGTGCCAAATGCCAGTTTGGTGGCGGTGAATAAAATCAGACCATGAAAATATTTAAGTGCATATCGATCAATATTCATTGCAAACCACTAGGGATGGTAAAAGAAACCGCGGGTACCCAACCGATCGGGTCGGGAATCCCCAAATTGATAGGGGACAGGGTCAAACCGATGATCCTACTTGAGGTCCCGGGACAAGGTGGGGATGGGGGAGGTTCCTGCGTAGTCCTTGTCCCTGCTCCAACCTCGTCCCATTTAATATTTTACTAATTTTTATTTTATATATAATAATATTAATATATTAATTTTAATAAATAATTTTAATTATATTTAATTGAATTTTACACTATTCTATACAAGAAAAAGTTTATATTTTTTAAAGAATTAAAATATTAGTAAATATTTCTAATATATATATTGGGGACGGATTCCCCTCCCCGATTAGGGAATCCCTGCCTTGTCCCAGCCTCCAAAATTTCAAAGACAGGATTGGAGATGAGGGAAAAAATCCCCAATGGAGCGAGGATGGGGATGACCCCAGCTTTGCCCTGTCCTGTCTTGTCCTGTTACCATCCCTAATGATCATCATTAAATTTTTGACATGATTTTTTTTAATATATTTCAAAAAATAAAAGAGTTTTCTACGGGTGATGAATATGGATATTACCAGCATCTGAGTATTTTTCATAAATTTTCATGAGATAATGCATTCAAGCTTGTAATTTAGGACATAAAGAGGCACTAGGATTCGCCAGGGAACCTGCCACAAACACAAATGAAGATAWATGAATTAGTGAAAAACTTGAAGCATTTTAGCAAATATGCTTCATCATTGGAATGCAAACAGACATTCCCTTACATAAATTTGTGTAGCAAGGTTGATTAGATACTGGATCCTCTTCAAACCGCGGTGGAACTTGGCCATATATCATCTCGCAACTCATGTCTTCAAAATCTAAGTTCGACAGGAGCAAGGAGAAACAATGTATTAGAAATGCCATTAAAGTATTAAGAGCATATTAGTAATTAGACAAGGAATTTGTTTGTGATTATAGATAGAAGGAGTGCGAGCCCATAGGAGATGAAGGTAGGCAATGATTTAGTTGGTTTGGGCTCCAAAATAAACTTGAGAGGTTAATATGTACCCTTGAATACTATAATAGGGGAATTATTGTACTTCTTTTATCACTTATGATACCATTTCAGTTCTTTGATTCTATCATGATGGTATAACATTTTGGCTACAACAAAGCGGTGTTCAAACCACAAGAAATTATTTTGTAATTATAGCATCTTTATGATTATCAATGATTAGAATGTTTCGATTATGTAATTTCCTTTTSTGCAGTGTTCTTTTAACATATTTTCTTGTTTCATTAGAAAAGAACATAAGATTGTCTAGGTATGCATTGAATCAAATATGATCAAGTTAAAACATGATCAAAGATATACGTACTAGGATTCATGGTGAGAGGGAGCCCAAATTCATTGGTGAAGAAATCTTGTGTGGGTATCTTGCACATATTCACACACATACCAACACACCCACTGTTCTCCAGGTACCTTCGATTGGTATAAAGTGAAGATGAATATATACTTTTTGTAATTATGGATTGATAACCATCACCATAACCAAATGAAGTTTATATATACCGGCACTTCTTTATATGAACTCCACTTCTTTGCTTTATACCATCTACCTCCACTTCCACCACCTATACAAAAGAAAGTATAAGATTCTTCCACATATATTGGAAGGTTATAGAGTTATGGAAAGTTTGTTGATTTAACTCATGACCTTTTGCAGAGTAAAAAGTCTTGGAAACTAGCAAATTGTTGACGATTAGATGAAGATTAATGCAAGATTCTTATTATCATATTATTAACAATGAGATACAAATCAAAAATTAAAATAACTTCAGGATATAAGTTCATGATGGTCACTTACCTAAATGCAAATATATTATAATACTAGTCATTTGATCTCAATAACAAATCTAACTACAACTAACAAAACAAGAACTAGAAAAAAGGACAAGTTCCTAAAAAAAAAGATTCAAGCCAACTACATCCGTGCTAAGCAATTTACTTCAATTTTGTAATAGATGCTTTTGAGGGTTCGTTATCTAAACTTGTTAGATGCAACCTTACATAAATATGTGATATTAAAATCCATGATAGTCACCTATTTAAGATATTAAAATCCACATACTACCTGACTATCAAATATTGTAGAGTCAGAGGGTTATCTCATCACACATATATTACAACGCCACAGTCATCTAACCTCAATCACAAATCCAACTACAACTAACAAAACAAGAACTAGAAAAGAAAAAGTTCCTAAAACAAAGATTCAAGGCATCCATACTAGTTTGTGCCAAACAATTTACTTCAATTTTATAATAGATAATTTTATTACAAAATTGAAGGTTCCGTGTCTAAATTTATTAGACACAACTTTAAAAGTGTAYGATGGAGTATCAAAACAAAATTACTCCATTCCAAAACCAACAACCAACAAGTATCAGCACTAAGCAATTCAGAATCATTCACTAATTGTTCAGTAACAGTGCGCATTCATTTGGAAAACTGAAGCATTCAAATCAACAAAAAAGAGAGAGCCTAAAGTGAAGAGAAGAGYAGGGATTCATAGAAATTAGGTATCTCCGTGGCCTTAGCCATGGCGGCGTGGCGCAGAAAATTAGGGCTTCGAATTTGAAGATGGGAATGGAATGGAGAAATTAATTACCTCGGAGGGGCCGACCAACCACTGAAAAAATGGCACTGTTATTGACGCATTGAATTCACAAGCCCACTTCGTCGGCGGGAACAATTTCCTGAACTGCGCGCCATTCGACAACAATTTCTCTTTATGATTATATTATCAGGAGGGAATTAATCCATTTCTACCCTGAACTTTCTATTCTTGTCAAATCTACAAAATTTAACAAGAATCAAAGAAAAAATCTAGCTCTAGCATTGTCTTTCACTGCATCTCCGTCAATTTTGTAATTCTTTCTTCCAAGCACTTCTTCTAACCAAGGAAAAATTGCAACACTTGTCCAATTTAAAAGTTTACAGTAAACATTACTAACTTCACCGAGCTTGAGATAACTCGATAGAGCTATAACGAATATGACTAACAATTTTAACTGCAAATCCAGAAAGATATATGAAGGTAAGTTGATAAGTTTCAGATACCACCTATGACATTCTATTAAGGATTCTATTRAGGATTCGTAGTTGCATGGTTAAAGAACTCAACTCATAGTTGACGTAATAATGGAATAGAACCATTCTATCGTATTCTATTTGTAAGTATAAAATCAAGTTCGTTCCCAACAGATTTACTAATTCTTACCTGTGCAGGTGCACCGGGAGGAAGCATAGACAAGAGAACCTGACGCACAACTTGCTGCTGCTGCACTCGGTTTCTGCCTTGCATTACTCTCTTGGAAGCATCCACAAAGCTTTCATAATCATAAAGATCCCACCATTTTCCCTTCTTCTTCTCCTCCTTTGAAAATTTCTCCATTTTTCCAGCAAAAAGTGTCATAAAAACCTTCTCAAACGCCCCATCACTGTACTTTGTCTTCTGCCCCAATGGAGCTGGCTCCCCCGATGCCTCTGCAATCCCACATCGGATAAGTCCTCTTCCCCTCCTTCTGCTCCCAATCCTCTCAACTGGAGCTCTCAAGAATTGGCCACTTTGTAGCTTCACAACCACCATTAAAACCACTTTGTAGCTACTATTTGCTTCAACTTCATCAGATTAATTACCTTTTATCATGTCAAATGATATGATGATTCCACACAGCTTGTGGGTGGCTGAGGTTTGCTTTTGAGAGATATTATGATTTTATAAAGATATGAAGTCCTCTAATTTGTCCCGACTCTCCAAATTTTGCTTCTCTATGATTCATCATTGGATATCGGGGATACGAACGGTGTCTTTTTTTATTTTGGAACAAGTTACAAGGCGGTTCATCCTTTTATGATATTCCCAACTAAAGAATATTAGATTCCCTCTTTCGAGTTCGCCATTAAAAGAGAACGAATGCTAGAATGCCAATAGATGTTTATTACTGAATTGGATAAATCGTCAATCTCTAAAACAGACGATATAATGTACTTTATCTAGAGGTTAATTAGGATAGGGAGAAGATTGATCCCTAATATATAAGTAAAGGACAACATCTCTTTTGACACGTACACTTGGACAAGAAGAGTGGTGAATTATTGTTTTATTAGTTTGACTGAGTTAGTCTAGAAGGACGACACAAGGAAAACATTAATTGGTGTGTGACGTGTCGTGATTTGGTTCATGGATCAAGAGGTTTTGATGAATTATTCTTGGCTAAAATTGAAATATCATTGATGAAGACATGAGGATGAGGTTAGAAATAGATTTGTGGCTGTGGTTGTGTCAAGGATGGATATGGCAGTCTGTGGTGGGGAAGATGGGCACTTTAAAAGCCTGTTGACCTAAGTGTGGGCAAACATACTTTTTAAGTGTTAATTTTACGAGCTTCAATTTTCTCTTTTTAACCGATCATGTGGGATAATTTCTAACAACTTATAGTCAAATCAATTTTATAGATCATACAACCTAAACACTGACAACTATTCACATATTTGTTCGATTGAGATCTTTAGTCATTCTGTATTGAGATATCTACATACATCGAGCTCACTTGTCATTTAGTTTACCCCGTACATAATCTAACAATACTAATTCGATAAATTCCAACTGACTAGGTGTATTGTGCCTATTTTAATTTTGAGTAATATATCTGGAAATCCCCAAATGATTTCTTATTAACACTGTTTCGAACATAACGAGTACATTCCAAAATAACTGTTACTCGGCATCTTTACCCTTGGCCATGAACCTTCCTTGGATTTTTAATTCACGCGACTCTTCCATTTCCTGATCCAAAATGAAGAAAAGAAGAAAGAAAAAAGAGAAGTTAGTAACTCGAAATAAAATTATGAAAGATGTCGTTGCAATCAAACATAGTAATACAATGATTTGTAAACGTAGAATCTCACAACACTAATTTGATAGTTGGAGTCATTCTGTCAAACATCACTTTAATGTTAAGTGAACACTCAACAATGACTTGCTCTCTCCTCGATGTCACGTCTGTACTAATATATATATATATATATATATATATATATATATATATATAGTTCAACAACATGTGGGAGTAGAATTCAAACCATGATGTATGTTTTAACAGTTAATCTATGTTCATATTAGCGATCTATGCTCATAATACTTTATAGTAATTCGAGTGTGCACGATTTGTTTCGTTGTATCAAAAGAGAAATATAAAAGAGGTGACTTTTATTAACTTCGTCACTCTATCATTTTCAAGAACTTTCATGCATCAATTTCTAAAGTGAAAAAAAAAAAGAAAAAACAACCAAAACCACTTTAATTTAGAGTTCTCAATGAAAAAGACACTTACAATTGATATGATATATTATTATTTCTTTGGACCCCATCTGAATTATTTGATGATCATCGATCTTTTTCCACCTATATCAAATAAAATTTTGACCTAATAAGTTAGTTTCATTTTCAAACTTCTAGTTTTAAAGAGTCGAGGGCCGAAAAAGTTGATAAAATTATCAATTCATCAACTTTTTTATTGTATATCTTAGAAGACGAGTCATGAGATATGAACATAGTACGCTAGATTGAAAGTTACAAGAAGAAAATCCCTATTACTATGATCGAGCATCCTGAGTGAGATCATAAAAGAGTTTATCCCGAGTGAGGTCAAGAGCATCCTGAGAAAATCTCTATTACTTCGATCGAGCATCATGTTAGACGTTAGTTTTCATAGTAGACAATATCATCATATTATTTCAACAATATAGATCGACGTACAAGCTAAAAACATGCACGTAAGAACTTACCATTCATGAACTCTAAAGAAGAGAAGAAGGTTATCTTTATAAGTTGAGCTTTAGAAACAAAATAAAAATAGGGAACATGCAACTTAGCGTACAATAATTCTTAAGGACTTCTCTCTCACGGAGAAAGTCTATGATCCAAACTTCATTGACTTAAAGTGTAATTTGCTRCTCAATAGTTAATATTCAAGTCGTTGAAGTATAGCGGTGCGTAAGGTCTTCTCTTTCAAGGCCGCCCCTTGAGGAACTCTAACAACAACATCTTGAAGCATCATATCATTTACACTTGATAGTCCCAAATCCCTTAGCACATTCAGAAGCCTTGCTGATGGATAATTTTCATCTCTGCRCTGAACTCTCACCATTGCTTCTGACTCAATAATTCTCACTTCTACATTATTGATCTTGGTGTTGTTCATCAAGTAACTCGTCGAGCTTATCGTCTGCTCCACGGTCGATATCGTGCTCCGGTTCTGATCAAATACACTGCTCATGCTGCTGCTATGATGCTGTGATTTCAGTTTGGACTCCATGCCTTGGATCTTGGACCTGAGCTCATTGATGTAAACTACAGCATCGGCGAGTAGCGACGCTTTGTCCATTTTCGATACGTTTGGAACCACTGATCGGAGTGCGTAGAATCTGTGGTTCAGCTTCTGTCGTCGCTGCCGCTCTGCTTCCACATGGTTCACCGGAGGTGACAATGGATCTGTTTTGTTCTTCCCGGGCCTCTTCCCCCTCTTAACACTCCCTGTAAGTTCAAGAAACGATATTAGATCATGTGATTTGAAATATTGAAAAGGATTGAAACGCTAATTTAATGTAACCTTTCAATCTTAATTTCTCAATAGAAAATGAAAACATGATAGCCAAAGCGAGTATAGCTCATCCATAATTGATGTATATATATATCTCCAATTAAGAGGCTGTAAATTCAATCCCTACTCCCACATGTAAAAGTAAATAAATAAAATAAACAATGAATTTAAATTAGTATTCTACTGTTAACTATGAGATCTAGTTATTTTGAGATCAGTGCAATATCATTCTCTCTAAAGAGCGCCAAAATGTGAATACAATTTTTTGAATTCACCTATAAACTAATATGATATCCGAAATGAAGTTATATGTTTAAACTCCTATAATGTCATTTTTTTTATTCATTAAAAATGATTAAATATTCAAAGTCTTTGTTTCCTCCATAATTGAGGACGAGAATGTTAAGAATACGAACGAAAATAACTTGGACCTTGATCAATAATAATTTYGTTTTTAGCTTTCTGATTTTGACAATTATTCTCSGTTGAGTCACAATTTCTTTAGCATGTCTCCACCTCCCTTAAAAACACATTTAAATTTTGAGTCAAATTTCAAAAACAAAAATAAAGACGAGTTTTAAATTTTTTTTTTAGTTTTCAAAACTTGGATTGAATTTTGGAAGAAGCAGATTCAAAACAAAGAAATATAGAAATGAAAAAGTAGTGTTTAGACATTAATTTTCGAAGATCAAAAATTAAAAACAAAATGGTTATCGAACAAGTCTATTAACATTACCCTTCCAAGTCCATGAAATCGCCCCCTTCCATTCTATTCACCACCAATTCGTCATAAAACAAATCGTGAAACATTGCCTCCCTCTCCTTGTTGCCGCCCTCCACCTTGAAACTAATCAGTTGTCCCCCGCCACGGCCGCCCGTTTTCGAGGATCGGGCGACGAACTCCCTCGAGCCGCGAAAATGGCCATCTCTCCAAGTGAAAACAAGATTCCCAGTGATGTCCTTTGAAGGCTGCCAGAAAATGGAGTAAGCCCACCATTCAGGGCGATTATGGAGGATGAATTGCAGCCTCTGTTGAAGCGTAGGGTTGGCTGAATTTGGAGAGGAACAAGGAGAAACCATTTCATCCATGGAGGGTTGATTAATTTTGAGTTCAATTTCTCTGTAAAAAATAATTTGGAGTTTGAAGATTGGATATGAGAGAGAGGAGAGACAAATATGATATTATAAACATTCAGCTTATATAGACAAAAAAAAAAAAAACAAAGATGATGTTCATTAAGGAGCCCACCTTTGTGTGTGTTCTATGTTTAAAATGTTGGTAAATTCAATCATTCACCCACTCTTTATGCAAGGATATGCACAACAATGTATTTCAGATTGCAGCTCGAACTCGGCCTCCGGACCGATCTGAATACTTGGGCGGACCTGCACAAAAAGGTGAGCACTCCGACGATCAAGTCAGTATAGGTCGGATTCCCAGWTTAGTTCGAGGTCAGAAATCATCGTACCTGATCGTGGAGTGAGGTCCTCTACTTATGGGTGGTAGTCCCGCTAATCTCGCGACGGTTACACCTGGTAATCTCGGGACCGTCGGTTACACCCGGTAATCTCGGGGCCGACGGTTACACCCGATAATCACGCCRCTGACAGTAGCTCACATCGGCCCCTACCGAGCTTCCCGGTAGGTCGGACCTCGGCCAGGTTCACCTCGGCCCTCATACTTAGCATCTGTCAACGCTAGTGGTGGTGATCTCGGCGGTCCGAACTGGGGCATGACTCATGAGTCATCTTGGAGCACCAATAGGGGTCCTCCACGTGTCCAGGGTATTCTCTTCCCCAAACACCCACCATTTCCATGCGCTCAAATTCAACTTTCTTGGATCCCATTGTATAATTCAACTTTCTTTCGTTTTCTTTTCCTTTGTCGTACGTGGGGTTATCTTTTTAAGTTAAATATTTACGAGTCATGTTCATGAACTTTTATGCATCGTGTTTATTTTAGTCTTCGTACTTTCAAAAATATTTTAATGGGTCATTGAATTATCAAAGCTGTGTCTATCTAGTGTACTTGATCTTTGAATTTTCAATTTTTTTTTTGTCTGATAGTTCTTTGTCGTTAATTATGTGAGACGTAGTAGCTGTTCGTGTAGGATTTTCGAGCGAGGTGACGCGAGACGACGTCTTGTTCGAGTTGGAAATCTGGTCAGTTGAAGTGAGGACCTGCTGACATAATCTTAGACTAGTGTGGTATTCAGCCATGTATACTCTAAATGTTTAAGTTAGTGCTTAGTCTGAGATAATGTTGATTCAAGGTTGGTAAGGTTGTATAGAATTGCTCCCCTATGTGAGGAATGGATTCGGCCTTTTATCGGAGAATTTTGGGAAGCATTGCCCTGTCAAACCTGATACAATAGATTTTACTTCAGTGGCATCTAAGCTAAAATCCACATAGTCGTTTTCAAGTGAGAGGGCCACGTGGCAAGTTTTGATTCTACCCTTAGCAATATCTGTATTACTTTAAAGATTATGTGGTGAGCTTATTTTATTCCAAACATGTTTGGACGTTTAGTAGAGACCTATCAAACACGAAATTAAAAATCTAGTATGAGATATCTATTGCTATTCAATTTTGATATACATAGCGATAATTTAAGCAAAAGACCCATAAATTTAGGGATTTGGTAGCATGAACACGACCATTTTATGTTGTGGAATTCTAATAAAAAGTTATAAGAATCTTGAATTGTAAAGTGTGTGTTCATTTATGGAATTGAGAATTTAATGTTTTGGTATACTTTGCCTCTAATAGTTATGGGTCAAAATAGTTCAATGTTAGATGCGTACACCTCCGTCAATCCTCATTTCCTCATTTATTCGATCACATAGATTAAAGAATTGCATTTTTAATCGACTTTTATTTTGTATTTAATAAATCTCTAAATTATAAATATTAGGACGAGCATAAACATGTATGAACGATCGAACAGATGGAGTGTGTAAAGTTTAGAGAACTGGGTTTTCAATAAGGATGTTCGAAAAACTCAATAACCTGAAAAGGGAAAAAAAAGAAAAAAGAATCGATCAACGTAACCCACAACTTAAAATAAATTTGAGTTGAACCAAGTTAGCCCGAACTTATTATTAATTTGAAAATCGTTTCTTTTAATTACCTATAATTATATATGGATATATTTATTTTAATTTTATTTCATTAAATAATATTTTATGATTTATTTATTTTCCAATAACTTTTAAAAATAAGTTTTTAAGTTTTAGGAGTGTAATTTTTTACCATATAAATAAACATTAACAAAGAATATTCTTGATTTAATGTTAAAAAATATGTAAATAAATGTTCAAGATATTAGTATTTACTTTTTTACATAATATTTTGAAGGAGTAATTGAATAACTCAAACCAATTATATAAATATTTTAGAGGTTAGATTCATTATTTAGTAACAGTTGTTTGGGTTGAACAAATTTATAACTCGGATTAATTGGATGTGATCTAAAAATTAATAGTTTAAATTCAACCCATCCAAACTCATGAATACTCTAATTTTCTGCTAGGTACGGACTAATTTATAATTATTAGTACTCGAAATTATAGTCCACGTATATTTGATTGATAATTTATCAAACATAAAATTAGAACTTTTTCAAAGGTTAAAGAGAATACGACGTTGAATGGTTTATGGATCAAAATTGTGACGTAACTCATTTGTTTTCAACCTTTTTCTTTCTTGTTTTATTATTATTATTATTATTATTATTTTATATATATATATTTTTTTTTTGAAGAAATTTGTTTTCAACCTTCATCATTCCAAGTTATTTTTTTTTCTTACTCAATGTATTCAAAATTTTCAATAAAATGTCTACTTTTCGAAGTGTCTTCTAATAATATATTACCCAAGTAGATTTTTTTTTCTTTTAATCGTGAGATATAATTTTTTTTTTTTGGATAATTTTCTTGAGTTACCATATATTTTCATAATGAAAAGTAATTCTCTTTCCGTCGAAATTATCCATTGGCGGCCTTGAATGCATGAAGAAAGTGGTTAGAAGAGTTGATTGATTTAGATGTTTATTGTGGTTTTTGGTGTGAGATTGTTTTCTTTTACCAACAATGGAGAAAATATTTAAGACTTTAATTATATGAAATTATGGTTATCAAAATAGCCTTTAGTAATACATAGAGAAAAAAAATTAAATTTTCTCAGTATATTTTATTTAAAATAGAAAATTTTAATTGAAACCTTTTTATTATTATTATTATTTTTTTTTTTAAAGAAGAGTAGTCGATGAGAAAAATATTGATGACGATGGATTTCTAAATTTAGTAAGTTTTTGAATTGTCCAAGAGGTTTTCTTTGTTCAATTATATGTTGCGTGGAAATTTGTACCTCTGATATTTTAGTCGATAATATATCCTTTAACTAGATCAGTTGGTGAGGTCTGTCTAAACTTTTAATGTTGTATCTAATAAATCCTTAAGGACGATCCATTTGATAATCATTTTGTTTTTGTTTTCTGTTCTTGAAAATTAAGCTTATAAACACTATTTCTATCCCTGTGTTTCAAAAACTGGGAAATGTAATTTTCAAAAATGGGAAAATGCTGTACTTTTCAAAAACTTGTTTTTGTTTTTAAAATTGAGCCTAGAAGTCAAATAAGGTTTTAAGAAAACTGAAAAAAAAAAAAAAAAAAAACATAGACCAAAATATGGGGAGGAAGCCCAGCATAATTTTAAAAACAAAAGGGTTATCAGTACCCACTTTTTTTTTTAATAATGAATACTTAACTTATGAGACAATTTTTAAAATATAGGATTCTCTATCCGACGTAAAGGTGAAAGCTCATGAATTTATTATTATTTTTTTTTAGAATAAAGAACAATGAAAATTTAAAAATATATTAACCACTTTTTTAAATGTTGAACAACTTATTAAAGTTGTACACCTACCAAACTTATAATTTAATAAAAAAAATTAAAAAATGGTATCTAAATGAATAAATAACCCCTTCACACTTTTAAATAAGTTAACAATTTTGTCATAAACATTTATAGTCACAATGGTAACATTTTGATAATATTTTTTTAATATTTCATTAATATTATAATTGGTTTTATACACCATTATAATATAAAAGAGAAATATATGATTCCCCAACGTAAGTCTAGTTGAACAGATCAAATCATTACTTACCTCTCTAAATTGGGTATATTGTATATCCTAGTAATACTTGTACATCCCTCTCACTTTCGGACGAGTAGGAGATTGTTGTGTTTGGTGCCCTTTAACTCGTATATTTGTAATTCAATAAAGAGTTATCTTATTATTTCTTTGTATTACTCGTATTCCAATAAGCTAAGATCCAAAATTATTCAATGTAACTAGAACAATATGTATTTAATATTTAATATACAATGTATATATTTAATATATACAATGTATATTTGATCTACATAAAAAGATTAAATATACGGATCAAATTATTACTTACCTCTCCAATTTGTACATCCGTCTCGCTTTCGGACAAGTGGGAGATTGTTGTGTTTGGTACTCTTTAATTCGTATATTTGTAATTTATGAACAGATTATATTCAATAAAGAGCTGTCTTATTATTTCTTTGCATTACTCGTATTCCAGTAAACTAATATCCAAAATTATTTGATATAAATGCAATATATATTTAATATACAATGTAGAGACAAACAATTGTGTTTATGTTCCGTGTGGATTCAGATTTTATATAAGATTAATCAACATTTCATTTCATCATTATGATTCACTTCCAAAAAAATTGCCCTACAAAATAGACAATACTACCAATACCAAACAAAAACTATTTTTTTCATCATAATATTAATGCCACTTACCTACCCTACCTGTTAAAATCGCGTTTAATGTTTTTCTTATAATACAAATTTGATTTCTCAACTAATTTTCGATATATATATATGGCAATACTATCAAATATTTTTTTAACCTATTGGAAATTTATGAATAATTTTTATATATTTTTAATGCTTGGTTACCTTTTTCTCTTTTTCTCCGTCTGGTCACCTTCAAATTAAATATTCGTATTTTCTTATCTAGCACATAGTTACAACTTATCGA